TACATATACATATATATACATATACATATATATACATATATATATATATATATATATATATATATATATATATATATATATATATATATATATACATATACATATACATATATATATATACATATACATATATATATATATATATATATATATATATATATATATATATATATATATATATATATATATATATATATATATATATATATATATATATATATATATATATATATATATATATATATATATATATATATATATATATATATATATATATATATATATATATATATATATATATATGTACAGGGTTCCCAAGGTTTGAAAAATTTATTAAAAGTCCTTAAATAACCTTAAAAAAGTTAACTTTTGACTGCTCTCCTTAATTTCTCCTTACTTTCTTTTGGATTATACTTATCTATAGATAAGCATATAGTTACTTAGTTACTTCTTTGATGAGTTAAAATTCTATACTTTTGTTATTTATCATTTCAGATATACTTCAAAAGTAAGCAATTTTGAAAGCAGATTTTTTTTTTTTTTTTTTTTTTTATTATACTTCACTTCCTCAAGGCCGAGAAGGCCACTACAGACGAGGAGGCTACTTATTTGTGGCTATAACCCTCTCTCAACTCTATAACTCCGAAACACAAACCTTGACGAACAAGGCCGCTGCGCAGAGAAACAAGTTGAGCGCAGTACTATCAGGGACGTGGTGGGGATCGAACTCGGAACCACTCGTTTATGAAGCGAGCGCTCTACCACTACACCACTACTTTGGTGTTTAGATATTGTTCAAAGCAAATACTCTTTTAGATCAAGTGAGAATAAGTCTAAACAATTTGCTTCAATGTTTCCAGATAGCAAAATTGCAGGCGACTTTTCCTGTGGTTGAACAAAATCTGGCTTTATTGTAGCTCATGGTCTTGCCTCATATTTTAAAAAAGTTCTTATAAAAGATCTTAACCTGCTGGAAAACTTTGTATGTTTTTTTGATGAGTCTTACAATAAAGTTGTAAAGAAAGGTCAAATGGACTTACATATCCGATATTGGAATGAAGAGAGTAATACTGTTTGTACAAGAAATTAAACTTCATGGGAAAAGCTGCAGCCCCAGATATTCTTAAATTGTTTAAATCCTGCATGACTGGTTCAAATGGTCATGTAGGATTAAAAAAAATGTTTAAATCCTGCATGACTGGCTGAAAAAATGCTTCAGGTTTCTATGGATGGCCCAAATGCAAATAAACTATTTTTTGAAATGCTCAGCAAAGAACGTCATAACAATGAGTTAAGTAAACTCATTGATATTGGTACCTGTGGTTTACATACTATCAATGTATCCTTACAAACTGGTGCTAAAGTTAATGATTGGAACTTAAAGAAATTAATGTCTTCAATGTACCAAGTGTTTCATGAAAGTCCATCAAGAGCAAGTGATTATGAAAGAATAGCTGAGGCAACAAGTTCAGATTTTCCTAGCATGTTTTGTGGTACTTGATGGGCTGAAAATCAAAGTGTTGCCAATAAAACAATAAAGTTTTGGTCGAAAGTAGTAATAGTTGTTGATTACTGGAAGTCTTTACCAAAAAGAAAGCAACCTGGATTTAGTAAATTAAGACAAAACACCAGCTTTGAACATTAAAGTGCTCGAACAAATGAAGTTTTAGTTCCTTTAAAGTTGAAGTTTTTTGAAGAGATTAGGCAGTCTAAATACATTCCTTGGTATGTAATATTTGATCTAGATACAATTTTATTGCTCTTTATATATTATATTTTGTTTTATTACAAAAATATAAAAATATTCTGAGATATTCTTTTCATATTATTTTTAAAATTTTGCGACAAAATTACAAAAAGTTTTTTTCAATCTTGCTATTTTTTTTCTTTAAGTTTCTTTTCAAACTGATAAACCAATGACTCCTTTTCTGGTGGTGACACTTGAAGAACTACTACACAATTTTATGCAAAGTTCATTCGATTAGATATTCTTTTAAATGCCAAAACTACAACGTCTTTGTTAAAAATAGATTTGTTTAATTGCACGAACCAGCTTTCAACCAGCCAAATTGATGTTGGTTTTTCATTGAAGTATGATCTCCAGCAACTTAAGAGTAAGGGAAAAATTACTGATGTTCAAGTTGACAAGTTCGAAAAGGAAATATGTGATTTTCTTGTCTCAATGTGTACTCATATTATTGAGAAAAATCCTTTATCTTCATTGGTTGCTTGCTGTCTGGTGTGTATTTCCCCATTATTTATATGTGAATATCCAGAAAAGTGTTACTATTTCTTTGACAAACTGTTGATGAAGCTTGTTTTTAGCTAAGTAAGAATATTCCAGTAATAATTTAGTTAAGATAAAATATTCCAGGTTCTGTAAAAGTTTGGTTGTTGATAACAAAGAAGTATTTTTGAGTTTTGATAAAGATAAGGATTGTTTGGACTACTTATTGTGGAAATACACTGATTTAACGATGTATGCAAATCTACAGCACATTTTTTCAAAATTGTCTTCATTTTATTGCACAGACAAGCTCAAGTTGAACGAGGATTTAGCAGTAATAAAAGTCTTTTATATATATATATATTTTTTTTAATTTTAATTCACCTCCTCAAGGCCGAGAAGGCCACTACAGACGAGGAGGCTACTTATTTGTGGCTATAACCCTCTCTCAACTCTATAACTCCGAAACACGAACCTTGACGAACAAGGCCGCTGCGCGGAGAAACGAGTTGAGCGCGGTACTACCAGGGACGTGGTGGGGATCGAACTCGGAACCACTCGTTTATGAAGCGAGCGCTCTACCACTACACCACTACCGTATATATATATATATATATATATATATATATATATATATATATATATATATATATATATATATATATATATATATATATATATTAGTGCAAATTTTCTGTTATATATATATAACATGTGTGCCATAAAATTTGAGACTGGTTTTTAACTTGTATTAAAACTTAAATAAACACAATAAAATTTTTTTTTTTTTGGAATGTTCTTAGAATTGAATATGCAGAATAGGAAAATAAAAATAAATTTATCACAAGACTCCATATCTTCAAATTTGATTAAGTCTGGTATTGGTACTTTTTACCAGCTTTTGTACAGCATTTAGGTCAATTCTACTGGCACAATAACGAATCTGACGCTCAAGGTTTGATATATTATTTGTAGACCATCCATTCTTGTACACATCCTGCTTAAGCATTGCCCAAAAATCCTCTATAGCCTGAGTTTCTGGTAAGTTTGCTTGATTGTCTTTTTTTTTGAACAAATGGTATCTTCTGGGTTTTTAACAATTTTGTTACTCAATTAGCATAGTGAGATGTTGCTAAATCAGGCCAAAAGATATACTCGGTGTGTCGATAATATTTATTAATAAAAGTTTGCAGACGCTTTTGTAAACACTCTTTTAAATAGATCTCTTGATTTACCGCTTAACTAGAAGGAACATAGATGGGACCATCTATGTTCCTTCTAGTCAAGGGGTTTCATCTATTAACTAGAATGTAAATAGATGGGACCCCTTGAGGGGAGATTGCCATCCATACAAGTAATTTTTTTTCAAATTTTGCAACATAATACTTAACAATGTCTGGTGTCAATTTTTGATCATTTGAATAGTATGTATTATTACCAGCCATTGTGCTATTCAACAAAGTAAAGTATGACTAAATTATGGTTGCAATAATTTGAAAGTTGACCACATTTTCGGCAAACCTAAAGCCTCTGTTCAGGAGTTCTGATTGGTCTTTTTTTTTTCTTTTATAACAAAGAATAGGCATTTTAAAGAATGTTGCTTTTGCTACAACCAAGTCTTCTAGAAGCTTTTGAAAGTGACACACCTCTTCGATTGTTAAACATTTTCTTTAATTTGATGCGGTTGTTTTGTGTATTAAGAGTAGGCCTTCTTCCACTTCCAGCTTTGCAACCCAATGGTTTATTTTGATCTTAACTGTTCATATATCTATAAATTGTAGCTTTTGAGTAGCCCTCCATCTTGAAATGGTTACAAACAACGTGTTTTCCATCTTCATGTGTTTTTTTATAAAAATTATACACGCGACTTTTTAGGGCTATTGTTTAGATAACAATTTAAAATGCCAAATCAACGACTGACAAATAGCCTGACTCACAGCAGAGTGCTGCTACATCGACTGAGGGTTTGGGATGGGGCAGCAATCTTTTCTTTCGTTATTCTTGAGAGCAAGTGCTTATAAATCAGCTATCGAATATATATATATATATATATATATATATATATATATATATATATATATATATATATATATATATATATTATAAACATCCCAAACCCTCAGTCGATGAGCTATTTGTCAGTCAATGTATGTACTGAAACCCCCAGCAGCAGGCTATTTTAGTGTGATGTCAGAGTGCTCATCTAAACTAGCAATTTAAGTTATATATATTAGCATTTTGCATTCTTCCCAAAAAGTCATTTTTATGCCTCAATATTAAATACTATTTAGAGTTTTTACACTCAGCATACAAATTTGTTTTGTTTTTTTTTCTCCTTGATTACAAATATTACTTAACACTAACATATAAACAGTATAGATATTACACTTAAAATAGTTAAAATTAACTTATATAAAGTAAAATCTTTCTTTTTATAAAAAAACAAAAAAAAAAGTCCGAAGTAAACAACTGTTTCTTTCAAGGTTACAATCTTAATTATTATGTATATTTACTTGTTTTCATGAGATTCTGCGCATAAAGAACCATGATGTACTATTAAATATGCGCACAGGAAGTTTTGCAAAACTGTGAAGACAACTATTAATAATAAAAAAAATATTTGATAAGAATTTTCAAAGAATTTTTCTAGAAATTTTTCAATAAAATATTAATGCATTAATGGAAGAGGGAGATCATACTTTCTGTTTTTTCTATAAGTGATTGTTTCAAAAATCTTTTTCATATTTGTTTTTTTATGAGTGTGTTACCATAGATACCAAGTGATTAGCACCCCATCTGATATTTTTATGGTGATGGAATTTGTTTGTGGTGGAGAGTTGTTTGATTATATACTTAAACATGGAAAGGTAAAAAGACTATAAATAGAATGCTACAAATAATTTTTTAAATGTATGTACATTTTTTATCAGATTTTCAAAATGTTTAATTTTTATTAAAAGTTAGAAAAATAAAATTGATACTTGTTTAAGGAGTTGATGTAAAAAGAGTATATTTTAATTTTTAAATATACTCACATTTATGCTCTTATCAATTTTTAAATTTTATTTCTACTATTATTTGTTTTATTTTAGCTTTCTGAACAAGAAGCAAGACGTTTTTTTCAACAAATTATATCTGGTGTTGATTATTGTCATCGCCACATGATAGTACACAGGTGCTTTTTTTTGTTGTTGCTTTTAATTATGATTATTTATTACTTTATTTACATTTTTGTTTTATTATTTTTTCATTTAGTTGATCATTTAATGATTAAATTTTTTATGAGAAGCTAATGAAGGATTAAAGTGTCATCTAGTGCCAGCTGTTTTAATAATTTTGATAAAAATTTGCTTAAATATAATTGTTTGATTCAATTTTAATTTTGTCTCTTTCATTAATGATAAATGTAGTTTTTATTTATGAAAAGGTAAAAAGGATGCTTTTAGGAGAGGTATTTCAGGTTGTGTTTTAGAATAAAGTTACAGGGAAGAAGTGAAAGAGGTAAAACGACAATTTTAAAAAATTGAAATCAAAAAATGATTTGTATTCTCGTTGGTATTATAATTTAATTTTGTTTTACATGATTATTGACAATTTATTATTATCATAAAATTTAAGCTAAAAGTTCCAGCTTTTATTAATTATGTAGTCTTTAAATAAAAATTAAAATAATTATTTTATTTTTAATTTTATTTTGGTTGTATTTGGTATTGTCACATAGATTTTTTATTGCTTTGTGTTATATTTGTTTCTTTGATAAATTTTTTCATTGTTGTTATATTATTGACAAAAATTGTTTTTTTATTAAGGAGATTAAGAATATATTTATTTTTATAATCTTTATTTCAATTATTTTTGTGTGTTTGTGTGTGTGTATATATATATATATATATATATATATATATATATATATATATATATATATATACATACATACATACATACACATACACATACATACATACATAAATGTACGCGCATATATTTATGAATATATATGTGTGTGCATGTATTTTCTCTTTTATAATTCCATTACAACTGATTGTAAGTCTTACAGACTTGTATTTTCCTTACGTGTTGACAATAAAGTTTTAAACAGATTGTTTAGTAAAAAGCTATCAATGTGTTGCGCAGGTTGTAGTTGTGTAGTAGTTGTAGCAGCGGTTGTTTTGTGGTGTGGTTCAATCCTCGGCTATGCTACTCATTTGAGAGATGTATAAACATATAAATACCTTGATATATTGTATTTGTAATTAATAAAGAAATATAAAAATATTAAAAAACTGTATATCATACAATACTATTTATTTATATTTATAAATAAATATTCAATGGAAATACTATGTACATGTCTTTTGCAACAATGTTGTATGTCTGTATGTTTTATTTATGTTATAATTTTTTTAATTTTCTAGAGATTTGAAACCTGAAAATCTTTTGCTTGATTCGCATAATAATGTGAAGATTGCTGATTTTGGTAAATTTTATATTTTCCTATTTTTAAATTATGTGTTGTGCATTTTCTTTGTATTTTTTCTTGCATTTTCTTTTAATGGTGAGATTAAACAAGCTGTTTTTTTATAATTTAATGCTAAAAGATGTTTTAAATAATAAGATAAAGTTTACTTAAAGTTATTTTTTATAAGTTATTTTTAGGGATTGCACTTTCAGCTATATAATAGACCTTTAGTTCGTAAAAAAGAATTTAACCTTGGTCTCATAGCATTGTATAAATGATAGTAATTTTTTATAAAATTCGGTGTTCTTTGATTAAAAAAAAAAGTGATAAAAAAAGTCAACTATAATAATAAAAAGAACCTTTATTTAATTATGCAACATGTATTACTTTTCCTTAAAAAAACACATTTATTTTAGAACATAATAGCAATCAATAGCAGCAGATAGAACATAATAGCAATCAATAGCAGCAGATATGTGGCTGCCTATGATATTCAAATTATGTTAATTATATTAAATTATTTTAAATCATTTTTTTTATAAAATATAATTTTTTTTGACAGGATTGTCAAATATGATGCGAGATGGTGAATTTTTAAAGACATCGTGTGGATCACCTAATTATGCAGCTCCTGAAGTTATAAAAGGAGAGTTAGTTGTTAAGTGACTTATTTAGCATTTCACAAATTCAACTTTATTTAACTTTACATATTTTAATGTTGTTAAAAAGATGGTGTAAAAAGTTGATTCTGAAATTTTTAAAATGCACTTTTGTTTCTTTAGTTTGTACGCAGGTCCAGAAGTTGACATTTGGAGTTGTGGTGTAATATTGTATGCATTATTATGTGGTACAGTAAGTTTTTTTCTTTCTGAAAAACAATTCTTAACTTAAACTTAACTCTCCTTATTCTTATATAGGAATATTCACAGATTCAAGTTTTCTCAAGCTTAACCTTTTTGTTAAAAATTTTTTTTTCAAATTGTACAGCCTTTTTTGTCAAGCATATATATTATGTATAAAAAAAGCTTGAACCTTTATATACATTATAACACATATATAATTGCTATGCAATTGCTATCAGTTGGTTAATTATATATATATATATATATATATATATATATATATATATATATATATATATATATATATATATATATATATATATATATATATGTATTTATATATATATATGTATATGTATATGTATATATATAGACCGTAAAATGAGGTGACTGGCTAAATTAAAAAAAATAGTTTTAACTTGTACAAACTACTTTGTTATTATGCGTGTACTTCCAAATTCAATTTTATCATAAAAATAAAGTTATTTTGTTTATTTATAACTAAGACTGGTTGCGGTTTGCGGACTTTTTTATAAAAATATTTGTTTGTTTATTGTAGTCTAGAAAAGTCGTAAATTTTGTATGCTGCATAATTGTTAGTTGGTTGCAACTGCAGTTAATATTTAAATAAATTGTGATATTGTAACCTATAGCAAATTTATATAGGATGGGTATGGCATAATAGTTGTAAGATTTACAACATTCTTTATTCAAAATAACTTTAGTTAAAAATTATGGGGTGGCTTTGGCCACAACTTAGGGGTGACTTTGGCTAGAGCTAAAAATGTAGTTATTTGATTTCAATGTTAAATTTTTGATTAATGTTTCAAGAAATAAGTTATATTTATATAATATTATATATTTAAATTTTCAGTTTTTATTTTTAGGATAATAAAAATCATAAATATATCATGCCAAGAACATATAAATGTGTGGCTGGGAGTCGTTGTTATATTGCATATTCTCAGGAAACATTAACTAAATGTTTAAATGAAGTAAGAACTGGGAAATTGACACAAACAAATGCTGCTTTAACCTTTAAATTTCCTCTTTCAACAATAAAGAATAAACTTAAAGGATTAAATAATAAATCACCAGGAGGTTACACGATATTTACTAAAACTGAAGAAGAAATTTTTGCAAGCTATGTTATAACTAAGTCTTCTTTTGGATTCCCAGTTGATTGTTATGATTTACGTAGTATTGTCAAGTGTTATGCGGACCAAAAAGGATTGATGATTTGACAGTTTTCAGGAAATATGCCTGGTAATGAATGGGTAAAATCATTTTTAAAAAGAAATAAACAATTAAGTGTTGGATTTTCGAGGAATATTAAAAGGAAGAGGGCAGAAGTAGGTTCTATTGTTATTAATAACTTTTTTGATAATATCACTTCTGAACTGGCAGGGGTTCCTCCATCAAATATTTGGAATTACAATGTAACTATTTTAACTGATGACCCTGCTAATAACAAAACAGTGATCAAAATATCCTGAGAGTAATTAATTCAACAAAGTCTGCTACATCGTTGACGTATTGTGGTAATGCAGAAGGAAAAATCATCTCTCCATACATTGTTTACAAAAGAGATTCGATGTGGACAATATGGACAGAAAATGGGCCAAAAGGAGCACGTTACAATCGCTCAATGAGTGGATGGTTCGACTGCTTCTGTTGTGCTGATTGGTTTGAATCTCTATTGTTGCCTGAATTAAAAAAAACTCCAGGAACACATATTCTAATAGGAGACAACTTGTCTTCACATATAAATCCATGTGTTCTAACTTTGTGCGAAGACAGCAACATCAAATTTATTGCACTTCCTCTAAATTCCACACATTTGACGCAGCCATTGAATGTTGCATATTTTCGACCCATGAAAGCTCAATGGAGAAAAATATTAACAACTTGGAAAGAAAGTGGAAAAGGACGTAAAGCTCCTTCTCTTCCAAAGGACTAGTTTCCATCATTTCTAAAATGTCTCATGAACAAAATTGAAGATCCTGGTTATGAAGGCAGGTTTTAGAAAAACTGGACTATACCCGCTTGATCGAAAGCAGGTGTTAGATAGACTTCTTAAAAGAACATTTACAAATGAAAATGTCAACAAGGAAATAGGTTCTCTTGTCAGTGAGTCTTTCATTCAGCATTTAGTGAAAGCAAGAGGTGATAATTATATACACCCGCGTAAAAAGCGACAAAAAATATCAGTTATACCAGGAAAAAGTGTATCAGCAATTGATGTTGCTAACATGCAAGAAGCTAACACAAACAAGAGGAAAATACCTGCTGCAAAAAAATCAAAGCTATCCGCTCTTAAACAACAAACAAATATAAATAATTTGTTGATAAACACGGAAACTTAGTATATATGACTACATGTATAATATAAAGTATAGAGTTGAATGAATGTGCATTAGCCTTAACTAATGTTAGGTTTTTTGAATTGTGTCCAAATTAATTTCAACATTTTCTGAAAGAGTATAGTTTACTTATCACTATGTATATAGTCCACCAAATCAGAAAACTCCTATTAAGTAATTATGGGGTTTTAAAGATTTTTTTTCGCCTTTTATTTCGCGCCTTTTTTGCAAGTGTTTTGCGCCATTTTTTGGTCTGCCATGTTTTCATTCAAAATTTTGTTGTTAATTTTAGTTAAAAGTTACAGACAATTTATTAGCAATTAATAATACAGAAGGTATTTTGTTATATTACATTGTTAAAGAGTGGATACTCACATAATCAGAATGTTTTAAATCATCAAAGGAACATATATTTACAAATATAAATTTAAAAACTATTACTCGAATTGAATCACTAAAAAATATCAACATTTAGATCAACATTTCCAAGAGAAACAAGATGTTTTCCATTATAAGAACTTAATGCCCTGACTAAATTATGTTCATAATTAGAATTATTTACGGACATCTTGTAGTGGTTCCATGAGGCAGTTTTGAAGAGGTAGTGAACACTTTCTCCAGATTGCTCCGAATAAACTCCAAGGCCCATTTTTTTTGTCTTACAGAATTCAGATACATGATTGAACAGGATATGGAATTTTGGTGTTAAAGTAATACCATGTTCTAACATCAACCTTTTATAGCAGGCTTTTAAATTTTCGATATTAGTTTGAAAGTTTTCATCAAGTCCGGATCCAAAGCAAGACTCAACAACTAAATTTAATAACCTTAAGCATTCTCCAAAAGACTTTAGTTTAATTGGCAGCTTATCATAAAACACTTCCCACTTTTTAAGAATTTTTTGAGAAGAATTTCCATTAAATTTTCCACCATGCTGACCAGTCTTAATAATTTGCAACTGTTCATAAATCTCCTTCATACTCATTTCTGACCAAATCTGCTCCATGTTATCCATTACATGATTGACTGTTCCCTCCATTATATGAAGCTCCGGTAAAACAAGTCTATCTATAAGAAATTCAGAGGGGTTTCCATGTACTAATACAGGGTTTATACAATTCTTAAAATGTTGTGCACACTTAGGTTTTGAACCAGATTCTTTGAATTTTGTATATTTTTCTTGACAGCTCTCAAAGGTTCTGTATGGAGCATTTTTCCAAGCTTCTCTTCTATCCCACTCACATACATAACAGGGATGAATCGAACTGCTACTTGGTGATATACCTGTCAGAATTTGACTAAGTTTTATGTCGCATACCCCAATGTGCTCAACTTTATCAAGATTTAGTTTTTCAAATAATATTTTAATGTTAAAATATCTTTCTGGGATCTCTGGAGCTACCAGAAGAAGAAATAAAGCATTTACTGACGAATCTTTAAATTTCTTTATTAGACCATCTTTATATGAACCCCTGCAAGCTGTTACGGGTTTTGTTTTAAGGTGATCTATGTCAAACTTGCCGTAATTTTTAAAAATTTCATTGATATCAACTGTTTAAACAAAATTTGATAAAACCACTTCCCCCATCAACAGCAATTTTAAACAACTGATTCTTAGAATCAACACATTTAAGATCCAGGAGTAGTTTAACAAAAAGAGTAACATCATTGCAGTACGCGACTGTAGTATTTTTATATTCCAAAGTTTTATCTTTATTTTTAATTTCAACTAAAATATTTTCTTCAGTAAATAATGGGAGAAAATAACTATCCAAATCAGAGACACAGTCTTTCAGTCTAGGTTCTACAGCGTTTCTTCTTTTTTCAACAACTCTGTAATTAATAATTTTTTTTAATACTAAATTTTGCTACAAGTATTGCATCATTTTGTGCAGAATTTGTATTAGTATTGTAATTTTACCTTATCATATTAGCAAATTTTATAATTTGATGATTACTTAAGGAAAGAGAATTCTGTATACAAAGAAGATTTTTGTGAGTAAAATTAGTTGTTTTTGGAGTATTCTCAGATCCAATAGATAATTTTAGCTTACTACCTCCTGTCTTCAATGAAATGGTGTTACCACTTTCACTGCATAGCTTTTCTTTAATAACGTGGGAAGCCATTTGTTCCTTGACATCTAAATAAAAGCTTGCTAAGGTTCAAAAGCTTACTAAGGTTAAACTAAAATCATCATTTTTGATTTATTAATCTTAACATTTCTTTCACTTATCTCTCTATTAGTAACGCAAAATAATACAGCTTTTTTAATACCTTTTTTATCCTGGTGCAGCTGATATATTATTTCTGAAAAAATAATTTACATAGAAATTGTTTTCTATAGAACATGTTATACAATCTTTCAAAGTCAAATATTCAAAGTTATAAACACATTTTCTACCTGAGCGTTGTTGGATTGCATTTATGATGCAATCCTCTTTTAACTTTAGTCAGACAAAAACTACACCGCGGACTAACAACTGCCGTTTTAAAACTCTTTATACCAGATTTTTTCTTGGGTATCCTTCCCTGCGTTCTTGCAATTTTACATATTTCACAGCTACAAGTTTTTAGTTTCCTAAAATTATAAAAAAAAAAATATAATTTTGCATTTCTTTACAACAGAAATATAATTAAAACAACATTTTACCTGTTTCGTGTTTTAGCTGGAAGAGTCATCTTTGACCAGTCAATTTCAAACCTAATTTTCTGTCTGAGGTCAACCACATTTGTTCTTTCAACTATACCCCTACACCTTAAATAGATAAAGATATGCTAGTATCATTTCTTTGAGTTTAACATTTTTCAGTTATGTGAATTCACATTACTGAAAAATTGGATACCTCGTAGTAAAAAGTAAATATGTCATAAATGTAAAACCATTCATTAATGGTTTAACATTTATGACATATTTACTTTTTATATATTTACTTAAATAAAAATCAATCAAGTATACCAACCTTGGACACAATCCAGTAGGATATCGGTCATCAGCAATGTTATAATCCGAAAAACAGCTCTGAAATTTAGAAATTAAATGGCTTTTGCTGTTTATTTTCATATGACATTTGCGATTTCAAAAAAGGCATACTTTTTCTCTGTTCTTTTGATGATCTAAAATAGTCTGAGGATGTGATTTACCAATTCTTAACATTTTTTTAACAAAATTTGTTCTTTGATTGTCTTTTGCAATTAAATCAGTGGCAGAAAAAATGGCGGATTAAAGATGGTTGTAAAAGACAAAAAAGGCGCGAAAAAATCTTAAAAACCCCATAATTACTTAATAGGAGTTTTCTGATTTGGTGGACTATATACATAGTGATAAGTAAACTATACTCTCTCAGAAAACGTTAAAATTAATTTGGACACAATTCAAAAAACCTAACATTAGTTAAGGCTAACCGTGTGTGCTATTATGTTTCAAGCTCGAGATTTTTTTAAGCATTTTTTTGTCTCAAAGGCATATATTTAATTATCCATATATCAGTGATATGTAAAATATGATTTATTAATCAATAGTTATGAGTTTCTTAATGAATAATTATGAGATATTATCTTAGCCAAAGTCCCCACCACTATAGGGGTGAATTTGACCCATCTTAAAAATTAAAATAAATGGGATAAGAATATACTTTTTTTCATTTTCATTTTTATATTTTATTTCTTTGGCATCATACACATTTAATAAAACTTATATTAACAGGTTAATCATTCAAAAATAGATTTCGCAAGAAAATCTGTAATATATATATATATATATATATATATATATATATATATATATATATATATATATATATATGTATATATATATATATATATATATATATATATATATATATATATATATATATATATATATATATATATATATATATATATATATATATATATATATATATATATATATATATATATTACATATATATATATATATATTTCATATATTACATATATTATGTAATGTTAACACATTAAAACATATTTCAAGTTTTGGAGTTTTACTTTTACTTGAAAACTGCGTTGCACCAACATCTCCTCAAGTTTTAGTTTTTAGAATTTATTTACCCTTTTGTAAAGTTTTTTGTTTATTAAATAATGTTAAAACCATTCACAATCTATACACCTTAGTGGCTGAAGTGGTTATTTTTTTCTTTAAACCATTTTTTTTTAAATAACTTTATAGATAATAACAATTTATCTAACGCTAGAATAGAATATTATTTTTAAATTATTAAAAAATAACTTTTTAATGTTATAAAAACCTTATGGCCTGGTTAACTATTCTTAAATAAAAAAATTGTTTTTTATGACACCCCTATTATTCAATATCAGCCTCTAATATCAATTAATTGAGAAGTTTTAAAATTAGATTTTAGTGTAATCCAGTGCATTCAACAAATTTATATTTACGAGTAACTCCACTTAATCTAAATTGATATTTAAATCTATATTTATGTATTTAGTATAAAATTTCCACTAGACTTAATCACATTCAAATTAATTAATAAAACGTTTATAAATCAAATTGTTTAAATTCTAAGAAACTAGTCTAGGAAATATGAAATTCTTTTCAAATTTTTTTTCTAAATTTAGTGTGGTCAATTACTAAGTTTCTATTTCCCTTTGTTGCAATACTTTGTTTCTATACTGATTTCAGCTAGAATGTAGGAGTGGCAGTCATTCTATATGCAAAAACTAACAATTAATCCAAGTAATGTGTGCGAGTTATATTTATATTTTCTATTTATTAATTTCTATATATTATTTTATATTTAGATGTTATATTTATATTTTCTTCAGACTTATTTTTTGCATAATTATCAGGAGATGACTTAGAATTATGATTATAATCTATAGTTTCTCTTAAATTTATTGAGTAATGTTTGTATAATCAAAAAGACTCTTTCAAGTTGTTAATATAATCGATATTCGAGTAAATATGATATTTGTTATTCTAATCATATATGAATATTGTCATACATTGTTAATGTCAAATATATAGACACTAATTACATATATTCGCTAGCATGACAAAGATAAACAAAGTTTTATTTTTGAGCTATCGGACTTTGAGCTATTGAGCGAACTTCTATCAGAATAAAATGCCATTAGAATTCAGTTTTTCACAAGAAAAATTATTTTAGTTTCAAGACAAGTTTTTAAGTAAAATAATTTACTAATAAATAAAGAAAAATATTTATTAATATGTTTATTAAAATATGGACTGATATTAATTAATAATTGGCAACAACTGCTGAACATTAGATAATATTCATAAAAACACTTAATTATTAAGCAATTTAATTATTACATATATTTCTATAGTTTTAGACTAGTTTTCCTGTATACCAGGTAATGTAAATTTGTGTTTAAAAAATTCATTATTTTTAAATTGTATTTTTTTGTTGTTTTGTTTCAGTTACCATTTGATGATGAACATATCCCCACATTATTTAAAAAAATAAGATGTAAGAGGCTTACATTTTTATCTGTATTTTTTATTTTTTATTTTTTTGTTATAAGATATTTTTTTCAGATAACTTTTTATTAGATAGTTGCTAAAGCAACTACATTTTTATAAATTTTACATATAAATGACTTACTATAGTGACAAGTCACTCAGGCTTGGCCAGGAAGGCGTGTGATTTCATGCTATAATATGACCATACAAATACTTAATACTTGATTTTGAAAACTTGACCACCACTGTTAAAATGTTTTGAAAATTTGTATACATTTTAAAAATGTGCTAAAAAGTTTTCTAAACTTAACTATGTAGAAATTAAAAAAAAAAATTATTCTATAGAAATCGAATAAATCTTTGTAAAAAATTATTTAAATTACTTTATTTAGATGTGTTTCAATAATATAAAAACATAAGTAAAGATTTAAGTTATTTAATTTAAACGGCTTTCAAAAAAGTTTTTTTTTTTTTTTTTTTTATTCTCAATAAAATCTTTTTTCTTTTTGAGTCTTTTAATTTTAATGCTTCTTATATAAAGTTTATTAAAGAGACATTCATTGTAAAAAGTCGTCGCTTGTAAAAAAATGTTAAAAAATGTCGTAGTCCAAGTCCTACCATTGGCATAGTAAGTGACCGGGGCTCTGGCCCCGGCTAAAAATGAGACTTTTTTCAAACCCGACCCCGGAAAAATTATAAGATTTATAATTATGTTATAAGATTATATGTTGATAGCTAGAAAAAAATTTATAACACTTAATATACTATAATTTTATGCTTATATTTACTATTTATTAAATACTGGCATACATTTATATACTTTTAAACTCTAATTTACTTCCAACAAGATTGCAAGCAACCACTGTTAAGTAATAAGTTACTTGAAAATAGAGAATCAGTTAAAATACTAGGAAACATATAACTAAAGGCATAAAAAGTTGTAAGTTGTATAAAAAAGGAAAACATGAAGTTGGGTAAGAGTTATAAGGTTTTTTTTTGATGTTCAAGGAAAAAAACTGGATTAATTATCTTGCTGTAAAGTTTTTTATAGCATGAAGGGACAAATAGAGTAAAAGGATGTAACTTGTTGAATAAATAGCCAAGCGAGAATAAGTTTTGGTTTATTGTTATAGAGATAATTTGAGCATTGACCATTATTGTGTTTGTAGAAAAAAGAAAAAAATGCAATCTTATAACAATGGGAGAGTGGCTCAAGCTTGGCAGATAAAGCAAATTTTATTACTATTACAATAAGCTTTTAGACTTTGTCTGAGAGTGAGAGGGTTGTTATTTGTCAATATAGGAATGCCAACAATATTGCAATATTTTTTTGCAGTAAATAAATGAATTTTGTTGTCTAACAAAAATTGTGGATTTTAAGTCTAGAATTTAAATCCATAAACCACTGCAAGCCTTAGGCTGTTACAGAAAAGAGATCAGATTTAAAGTTGACTGCTTGTTCTAAGCAATTAAAAAGTGAAGATTTTTTGTCAAGACAAGAGTGTAAAGTTGAGTCATCAGCAAATAGAGCCACTTTAGATTTTATTAAGGTCGTTATTGTAGATAAGAAATAATACAGAAGCAAATATAGAACCTTGTGATACCCTTTAAATTACTTGAAATAAAGAAGAGGGTGTGCCTTCAAGAATAACTTTACTACTGCAGTTAGAAAGAAATAATTTAATAACCTCAAAACCTTTACATAGAAACTTATAAGAAACTAATAACAGAGTGAAGAGTAAAATTAGGAAACTTGGAGACGTCAAATAGTTTTCTAGAGTTTTGAAAAATTGGAACCACCTATTTAGCACTTTTTGAAAGTTCAGCAAAAATTGAAGAGAGTTCTGGATAACACTTTTTTAAGACTCTGATGGAAATCTTATCTGATGCAAAAACTGTAGAAGTGTTTAATTGAGAAATAATTTTAGTATTGGAAGCCTGTCTAATTTCGATGTTTAACAATGGGTTAATGTGTTTAACTATCAGGAAGAGTATGGCAGTTATATTTGAGAATCAGATTTAGATTTCTTTGTAAATAGCTCTGCTTTATTCTGGGGAAAAGTAAAAAGATCAGACCCATGAATAGAGATTAAATGTTAGACTTTTTTTTAGTTAATGACACTGTTGAAAACTAACCAAAAGTCTCAAGAACTTAACATTTGATATAAGATACAAGATTTAGTAAACTGAGAATATCAGAGATTTACATCAGACAGGATTTTATTTATACATTAGCTTATTGCAATAATAAAAAGGACATTTGTTCTTAAGAGAGATGTTCTTATAAAAAAGATAAAAAAAGTGATTTTTTTTTTTTAAACATTCTTCCAACAAGGCTGCAAGCAACCACTAATTAGTGTTGAAAGTTACTGGAAGAGAAAAGATGAAGATTGTAGAGCAAGATAACGATTGACAGACGACTTAAAAGATTGCAAATTATATGAATCAGGAAAGCAAGGTGAAGGAAGCAAATTCCAAAGAACTGATGTTCGAGGAAAAAAACTAGACGAATAAGAGTTTTTGTAGCATTTAGGAACAGTAACAGAAAAAGGATGAGACTTAATGGAATGACAAGTAACACGAGAGTGAATTTTAGTAGATGGCACAAGAGACGCTTGTTTTTTAGAGCAGTGCCCATTATAGTATTTGTAGAAAAGAGAAAGAGAAGCAGCATTACCGTGATAATGGTTGAAGGTTGACTGCAAGAGCAGGTCCAACTATGTTTAAAAAATAGAAACTATGTTTAGAGAAAATGCATCACCAGAAGATGCGCCCCAGATATGGCAACAGTATTCCATACAAGGTCGGATTTGAGATTTATAGAGATAGAGAATAGAATCCAGAGTAAGAAAGTGTCGAGCTCGATAAAGAGATGCAACTTTAGCAGATGCTAATTTATTTATACAACTTTAGCAGATGCTAATTTAATCAGTATATGGTTTCCAAGAAAGATCAGAAGTAAGAGTTAATCCTAGAAGATGAAGGGTAGATGACTCATCGAGTACATTACCGTTCATAAATATAGGAAGGTCTAAATTATTACAATTACAACTCTCCACCTTTATCTAATGCACAATAAAACCTATTAGTTATTACTGTTAGCAAATCAGCCATAGAACAAGAAGATCGAAATCCATATTGATGATCAGAAAGTAAGTTATTAGATTCAAGATGAGAGATTAAGTGTTTGTTAATTAGAGATTTAAAAACCTTGCTTATGATAGGAAGAAGACTGATGGGACAGTAGTTAGACAAATCGGATTGCTCTCCAGAATTTTTAAAAATAGGGATAACAGATGCTGCTTTCCAGTAGGCTAAAAAACAAGACTCTGATAAGCACTTGTTGAATAGTTTTCAAATGATAGACGACAGCTCCGAGAATATTTCTGCAACACAATAACAGGTATGTTGTCCGGGCCACAAGCTGTACAAGAGTCTAAGCAGGAAATCACTTTAGATACAGAAGCTGGAGTGATACGAATGTCAAGCAATTGATCAATCTGTTTGACGACTATATCTGGTAGAGCGCAACTAGTGGAGTCAAGAGATGATATTGATGAAAAGTTCTTAGCAAAAAATTCAGCTTTGTCTTTAGGTGAGGTGACAAAGTCTGAACCATAAAAAAGAAATGGAATTACAGACTTGCCCTTATTAGTGATACTATTGAAGATTCTCCAGAAGTCATGAGAGCCTAATTTTTGTGATGAAATACAAGATTTCATGACCTGAGAATAGCAGGTATTGGAATTAGTCAAAACCTTTTTACAATGGTTTCTAGCAATAGTAAATAGACGTCTGTTTTCTGGATAATTGTTTTGCTGATAGATATGGAAATAATGGTTTCGGTTGGCAATTGCAGCAGCACAATGTGAGGAAAACCATGGGGAAGAGTTTAACCTGGAATCGTCGAGTAGGAATAAAGGATTCCATACTGCCCTAAATCCATGAAGTTATGTAAGAAGCATATTTGTCAACAGGAAGATGAAAGATTTCTACCCAAAGGCCATCACGAAGAAAATCACGGAAAGAGTCCCAGTCAGCTTTAAGGTAGTTGTAAAATGTACGATGATAAGGGGATTCTGACGGTAAAGAAGAATGAGATAATAATTTCAGAGAGATTAAACTGTGATCAGAGGCACCTAAGGGTGAATGTGGAGAAACTTAGAACTGACTAGGATCAGAAACAAAACATAAGTCCAGTAGTAAAGGTAAATGATTCGGGTTGTCTGGAAAGCGAGTTGGAAAGTTGACTGTTTGAGTTAGGGATTGAGAAAGGCAAAAATTGTGGGCTTTAATGCCTGCAGAGTTACTGACACTAGACCTAAGTCATTCTGTGTGATGGACATAAAAGTCACCGACAACAACAATATTTGCTGTTTGATAAAGAGAGAGGGCTTGGTCAATATGATTCGAAATAACATCAAGAAAGAGTGCATTCTTGAGATGAAGGAGAGCTGTATAGAACAAAGAGAAAGGTGATAGAGTGAAGTGGTGCTAAACAAAGGCACATAAAAGAGTAGTCTGTGGATTCAAACCTAGTTTCCCAACAAATGGGTGAGTTCTTACGAATGTAAATGCCCAAGCCAAGCATGTGACTATTGGAGTCTTTACGAATTAAAGGAAGATAACCATCAACACTAAGATCACATGATGGGACAGCTGAACTCAAATTAGTCTCACAAAGCGTAAGTAGATCTGGTGAACTTTGAAAGAGATAAGACTCAACAGAAGAAAAGTTACTTCGAAGACCACGAATATTAGTGAATGATAGGTTTAGCAAACTTGGTGATGATAGTGGTTTTTTGTGTTTTATAGTTTTTGTTACTTTATTCTTTTTCAAATTTGTTAAAGAACTTGATTCGAAACATAGATAGTACTCAGTACACTGTTTATTAGCCCAAGCAATTGCCTCATTACTATTAATAAACCCTAAGCCGTAACAAATGGCTCCAATTTGGCCTTGGCAATGCACACCAAAAGTACAAACAGGGACACCATTCATGCGCAACATGGCACTGTTAATACTTTAATATTTTTCAACTATTGATGGAATCAGCCTCTCTGAGAGCTACCACAGAGTTTGGGAAACCTGACTACCAGTCGACCTCAGAACCATAAAGCTGAGTTTTAGAGCTGTACCCTCATTAGGAGATAAAAGAATAAGTTGCCTAGCTATAAAAACAGAGACACAAGCAAAACCCATGCATCGAGTCAAAAAGATCCAGCATTCAACATTCTAAACTGGAAACAATGTATTAAGAATACATCTGCGCCAGCCTAATAGTTGAAGAAGGGGTGCGAGGCTGGTCAACAGATAGAATTTGATAACCCCTTAAATCTTTGCCTAGGAGACCTTCTGCAAGACAGCAGCCGGATGCATTTAACATCTGCCCAAGATAAGTATTTTTATCGAGACACCATCTCTAGCCTTTACTCAACCGAGAGCCCCAAGGCAGGGGGTGTTTTATGTTGGAATTGGCATCTCCTAGCCTTTGCCTAAAAAGGCGTATCCTACAAGGCAGCAGGACATGAAGCAGATTGTACTGGGTTACATGTTACCAGTAGCAGGATAAACCTGATCTGACTTTAGTATGACTTAGCAGGATAAACCTGAGTTAGCAGGATAAACCTGAGCACGATAAACCTTAGTAGCCGGATAAACCTGACCTGACTTTAGCAGGATAAAACTGACCTGATTTTATGTATATATATCAACCCTCGAAATTAGGGTGGACTTTCGACAATGCCCACCTTACTGCCAACCTAGAAGCATTTAAAGTCAGGAAAAAAATGCCGACCTTGTTTATATGTTATATGTTCAAACCTTTGTTTTTTTATTTTTTCTGCTGACCTGATGCCGACCTCACACAAATTAAGATTGGCAAATTATTGCCGACCTTATTTTTTCTAATTCGGAGGGCTAATATATATCAGCGTTGGTTAACATGAAGGCTTTGAATTTGTTCTGGGTTCTGTTTATCATTAGTATTAGTTCTTTTTTAACTTTTATTTGTTTTAAGCTTGTTTTTTTTTTTTGTTTTGTTTTTTTTTAGCTGGAGTTTTCGCCATGCCAAATTATTTATCAAGTCTTATTGCTGGGTTATTGACTGACATGTTGCAAGTTGATCCTATAACAAGAATTACAATTGATAAAATCAAGTATTATATTTTGTTTGACTGCTTTTTTGTGTCTGTTGAAAAAGTATATTTTAGTAACAAATAAAACAGATCAATAGTTAGATCAATATATAGTTAATAGTTGTTTCTATGATTTTGTACCATGGTTTTAGATGTCATTCCTGGTTCAAAATTGATCTTCCAGCTTATTTATTTCCTTCCACTGACAATCAAGGAAATCAACTAGACAAGGAAGTCATTAGTGAAATTTGTGAGGTATTTTTTAAGCGTTTTTAATATAACCATGCAGACTCTTCTTGCATAAGTTTTGTAACTTTTTCTGTTTCAGAAATTTGGTGTTAATGAAAGCGATTGTCTAATGGAGCTATCAAGCGGTGACCCGCAAAATCAACTTGTTGTTGCTTACGATCTTATTTTAGATAATCGGCGTATTAATGCAGAAGGTTTTATTATATACTACTTATATTATTTTATAATATATTTTTACTGTAACTTTCAGTATAATTTTATATTCTTACTGTAACTTTCAGTATAATTTTATTGTTTTGTTTTTCTTTTATACTGTTTTGCAGTTTGCATGATACATTTTTGTTGTTAAATTTTTTTCAAAACACTGGCTTCAGCTTTTTTTTATAATACTTCTATTTGAAATTTTAAAAATATGAAATTAATGAAACTACTTTGACAAGACTCCGTTAGTTTTTAAGTTTTTGTTGTTTTTAATATTTTATATTGTTATGTAATTATGCTGCTACTACTACTACTACTACTACTACTACTACTACTACTACTACTACTACTAGTAGTAGTAGTAGTAGTAGTAGTAGTAGTAGTAGTAGTAGTAGTAGTAGTAGTAGTAGTAGTATTACCACCATCACTACCATCACTATCGCCACTACGATTTGTATTCTATTTTCTAATTTCAATACAATAAATTGTTTAAAATTTCTGTTTAGCTCGTGTTGTCCAAGGTTTTGTGAATCCTCCGAAAAATAATGTTGAAGGAGTATGTTTTTTGTCTAATATTTAAATATTTTAAGGGTTTTTGGTTGAAATGACAAGGTTTTATTGAAGGCACATTGATTCTAATAATAAATAATTGATATTATTAATCTATATTGATTCTAAAGCATTAAGCTGAATTTAAAATGACAAGATTTTCTTCAAAATCAATTGAAAGGAATATTTAGTACTATATACATTTAAATTGAATGAACATTTTAAAAAAAACAAGTTTGATGTATACTTTTTTTATTACACAGTATTCATTGGAATTATTTGTTCCAAACTCAAATTTTTGATTGTTTCAAATTTTTTAATCATAATTTTAAATGGTGTGTTTTTGACGTTTTATATCTAATTATATGAAAACTTTTGGTGTGCAAAAAATAATAGAATATGGCAACTTTTTTTTTTTGCATATAGTTCAATTATTAGTTTTTAATAAATTAATAATATTGACTGCGTATAATCGGAATTTTTACCTTTTAATTTTCTTTTACATGCACTGCTTTAAAAATGAGATCCTCTTTGAGCTTTGGCACAATGAGACAAGCAAAGATTCTAAACAATAAGAAAACAGACACATTGTAGTATTATAAACAAATGTGCTTTTCTTCTATAAGACAGACATATTGTAGTAAGCAAATCGGTTTTTGTACTGTAAGACAGATTGTTTTTTGCTACTCTTGTCCCACATACATAGTTATTAGGTCTGTAAAATATTTGTTGTTGACTACATGGTCTCATACACTTGATTTTAATAAACTGTTTGATTTTAAAAAATTTTAGTATTTTTCTAAAAATGTTAAATCAGTTTTCACCTTGAGTGTGGTCCAGAAAAGTATCCTAGTTATCAAGAAATTATCTTTTTAAGTTTTTTTTTTTTTTTTTTTTTTTTTTTTTGAGTAAATAAATCAAGAAGATTTAATTTGTAAACTTTCAGGTATCTTCCTTCTGCCTTGTAATATATTTGAATATTTTTTAAAGGTAATATAGCAGGGTTTTTTTTTTAAATCATTATCTTGGTTGAATATCTTCAGCTGCAAATGCACAGAAGTAGCTCTTTTATTGCGTTATTTGGCACATTTAAATTGTAAACTTTCCACTATCATCCTACCTCATGATCAATATGGAAATTATCTTGATGATGTTGGTTTTAGTATAGGTAGTAATCTTGAGATAAAAAAATTTTCTAGTTTACTGGAGAAACTTTAACTAAAGTTATAGTTCTGAAAAAATGGAAATCTTCTCTAGTACTTTGAACACCAGGAAAGCTCTTGGTATCATGTCTGAACAAGTTCTTCAAATAAATCTTCAAAGAACAAGTTCTTCAAATAAATCTTATCAAAACTTTCTGTTCCCAAACCCTTCATACCACAAAACTTTGCTAGTTCCCATTCTTTAATAGAAAAACCATAAAGTTATATGGTATTATGTCAAACTTGACAGTGGTTTATAAAGTTTTGCATTTCAATATATATTTTTTTCTATCTGCAAATTTTGTCTTATTAAGATGTTGCAATTATGTTTGTAATTTGCATCCAAGATATTGTTGAATAAATACATTAATGTTCATTTACATTTAAAATCATCTTTGGATATTGCTACTAACATAATCAATTTAACATCAATGCTTCCCATACAATGTGAGCGTTTTAATCTTTTTTGAAGCAAAAACCCTTTGTCTTCTCCTTAGGCCTTCTAAAGGGCATTAGTCAAAGAGACTTAAATCAAATATTAAAAAGGCCATCAAGGTTTTATATCATCTTTTCATTCTCATGAATTGTTAACCTATAAAGAGCAATCTTAAAACAGCTTTTAGGTTAGGTTAGGTTAGGTTCTTTAGCTCATATACATCTACTTGTCAATTAGAGATGGAGGGTCCTTTTTAGTACTGACTTTAACCCCTCCGATTTGAACTGTTATAGTAAAAAATACTTGTAGCTTTCCTGCTCTTCATAAAGCTTTTCAAGTTTAGACCAATTTTTTAAGTGTTTTTGTATCCTTGCTTTATCTCAAAAAACCTCCCTTACTGATAGTCGTGCAACTACTTTGATATTTAACATATATTGTAAAACAAACACTTGGCTATTTGATGGTAACTATGGTACATGACTCATTGAAAACTCTTTGAGTCATGTACCAAGTAAATAAATTTTGCCTTTCTGCTTTAAATTTATTTTCTCTTTAAATTTTGTATGAAGAGGAAGCTATTATTAAAAAAATTAACTTTACAAACTCACATAGTAAATATTAAATAAATCTACTGAACAGAAACCAAATTTGTCTATTTAATTATAAAGTCAATTGATAGAGAGAGTCCTATTTTAGAGTTATTTGCATTCTGAAAAATAAAATAAATAAATAGTAACTTTAGTAACAAAAAAGAACTATGAAATTATGATTAAAAAAGTTAAAAAACTAACAAAAATAGTTTTCTCTGTTGTTCAGAGAAAGAATATCTTTCTATTAACTCAAATCTCTGATTGAAAAAATATCTTTAAAGTTATAGCTTATAGCTAAAAGGTGTTTTAATACAAGTCAAAGATAATACAACAATGAGCCGGAATCAAGTTACTAGAATAAAGCATTTTCAGTTTATATAGACAACCATAAATTTTTCCAAAATATCACATTTTCAGACCTAAATCAAATTACTAGGATAAACCATTTTCAATATTAAAAAGAAAAAACCATAAGTTTTTCCAAAACATCACATTTTTTTAAGACTTTATTGCCAAGCCTCGTTATTTAGGTGCAACCTGTCATTTTAGATCTTTTTTTCTCAGTCATTCATAAAAAAAATTCAAACTGGTTTCTTGTAACCACTCTAATAAATCTTTGTTTTATTACAGCAACAAAAACAAAGCATTTTGATATATATATTCTCTTTCTATTGACAAATAAAAAAATTAAATTAAAAAAATTGTATTAATAATAATTCTTTGTAAAAAAAGTTATTATAGGTAATAAAAAGTAATAAAAATCATTTTCTTTGATAAAAATGAAGTATTTATGAATTCATTTACTTACATGTTATTATTTCAAAGCAAGTCCTTGATTGATTTTATTTTTAATTACATTAGTGTGGTTGATCAAATTAGCTATAGAGAATGTAATTAAGGTTTTTATAATGAGAGATATAGCTAAAATTATTAAAAATTTAGGTTTTTAAAGACTAGAATTTAGAAAATATCAGTTTATGACTAAGATTGAGTGTTTAAGATTTTATTTTCAACACATTTCAGCTAGTATATATATACGTACCAAGAAATTTTGAAGAAAAACCTTGTGTCATTTAAAATTCAACTTAAATTTTAATAAATTTTAATAAGCGTTTTATATGTTTTTATATTAAGTTCAATTTCATTTCATTTTTGATTTTAAGGTTTCTGCAAACATGGGGAGACTTGGTATGATTTTATATTACATTAATTACATGACAATCACAATACACTATATAAAAAAAAATTATTTTATAAAGTTGCATTTTATATGGTTTTTTTAAAAACAATTAAATTTAATTAGTAAAGTTTTAATTTTTTTGTTTTTTATTTTTGGTTATTGTTTTTTTATTTTGCTTTATTTTGTTATAATTATTTTTATCGTTTTTGTCATATATGGGTACTTTAACAACCAGCACATGTTGTATTCATATCAAAGGAAATAATAAAAAAATATATATTTGAGCTAAATTATTTTTGATTAAAATCAAATAATAAATGTATATTAATAAAAACTAAGATTGTTTTTCTATTCATAGCTCATCTTCTCCATTTGACTCTGTATTGCAGAGTCTTTATTATATTATATACCACAATCTACAGACTCCATAATTTGAATATTTGAATTTTTCTAATATTCACATTTAATAATTTTAAAGTTTTCAATGATGAAGTAAGTCTTTATAAAAGTTGTGATAAAAAAAGTTTTTATTAGTTAAATATATTTTAAATATAAAAATATATTTATTTTGTAAACTTTTTATTTGTGTATTTTCACATATTAATAAAATTTATACAATTTTTCCATTTAAAAACAAACTTATATCAAATTTATTTTGTAAAATTTGTGTTTTGAAAACACCTAGTTATTTTTCGTATATTATTTTTTGTATATATTGTTTTTTTTAATCATTTTTAAGTATGGAGCTTACCAAGATTTTTAGTTATGTACCTAATGTACATAATGTAATGTAGCATCACTTTATTTTTAGTTATGTACCTATGTACATAATGTAATGTAGCATCACTTTATTTTTAGTTATGTACCTATGTACATAATGTAATGTAGCATCACTTTATTTTTTTTTCCTATTTTAGTTTTCTTCAAAATAAGTAAAACATTTCAACAGTAATGCTTGTTTTTTTCTGCTCTCACTTTGAAATTTTAGAAGCTTGGGAGAATGGTATAAAATTTGCATCTGGTTGTCTACCAAAATATCAGATAATTGAATTTAATATAAACATTTACTAAAACACAATTAGATAGTAATGGATAAAAAAACTCTTTAATATCGCATGTTACCTTATTTTTTATGAGTTGTTTTACTAAAATCATGAATAGAACTTAGTAAAGCCATTTTTGGGTTTTGTCCAGTTTATCTGTTTAAAAATATTCATTACTTCATTACTTGTTTTAGTTCTTTTTCTAACTAGATTTTGTTATGCAACTTTAATCTACCCTAGTGCCTGTTTACTTCATTTCATTTTTTGTTAAACTGTTTAGAAAAGGATTTGAAGTCTATGTCAGAGATCCTTGTAACTTTATAAGGATTAGGATTGGTAACTGATTTAATCAAGTTGTTTTTCAAAGTCTGAAACAATTTACAAGTAATTTTATTTAATTTTCATAATGATTGGAAGAAGAAAAATAAAAAATATTTGAATTTTTTTTATTTTTAAATTAGTATTTGCATTTTAGATAACTAACTGCAATAAGCAAAAGTTTATAAATAGTAAAAATCATATAATTAATAAAGTGGAATTAATAAAGTATTAAATTTTATTATTACCTGTGGTTTCCAAAATACACTATACACTAATGTTAAGTTACTTATATTTTATCATATTTACCTAAATACTTTGTCATATTTCTATTGTCGCATTTAATTTTTGAAATTTTTGAAAAAATATTTCAATATTGTTAAGAAAAACTTTTTTTTTTTTTTTTTTTTTTTGTAAAGTATGCTCTTACTGAGATTATGAAGTTTTAGTTAATTCAAAGATAATTGTGCTTACAAGGTGTAATTAAATTTTATGTTTATTTTTTTTTTAAAGAAATAATGTAGAATTCCTAAAACAAAATATAAAATAAGATTTTTTTATCATGAAGCATATACTTTTAAACTTTAAAAAAAAATTTAAACAAATACTAATTTTTAGCATTTATGTTGATCTCTGATTCACTGTGCATTGAATTTAAATTAAAATTTATACACCTTATTAATATTTTATTATTAACATTGATAAACTTAATAACATATGATATTAATTTCCTTTTAAATTTTATATATAACAGTTATCAATAGTTACAATAAATCAAAATTGTTTATGTTATGTTATGTATAGCAAAGATATGAACATTTTTATTTCAAATAAAAGTTTATATTAATTATGCATTTTGGTTATAGTTTTAACCCCAACAAAGACACGTTCTCTTTCTATTCGAAATGGTAAAAGACCACGATGGCATTTAGGTAAGTTGACTAATAATCTAAAAGATATTTTCATAAAGTATGTTTACATAACTGTTTATATACATGTGTGTATACATACATACATAAATTAAGGTAATATAATCATACAAGATTATATTTTTAGTTTTTCACTGAGTTTCAATTAGTTTTTAATTGTGTTTGTTATTTATAGCTACTTTTGTTTAATTTAGGTTATTATTGTTATTTTATATATTATTTTTTTAATGCTGCTTTTAAATGCCACTTGCTCTCTGTAGTTACTAACTGTAGTTACAACCCTCTCTCAACTTTGACAAACAAGGCCACTGTGCAGAGAAACAATTGTTATCTGATTTATTATTTGAGTCAGAATGCTAAAATGAAAGAGGACACCAAACAGAAGATAAATTGGAATAAACACATCAACACCTAAAGTTGGCCTTTTACAAGGGTCATTAGATGAATCATATGAAAAAATTTGCTTTTTCTAAAAGAACTTGATCCTCTTGTAGACATTGGAATCTGTGGTTTTCACACTATTCATGGAAGTTTTATCGCAGTGGAAAATGTGACAAAACAAATTTTTAAATGTATTAAAAACCTTAATAACATTTTCCTGTAAGTCATATCCAAAGCAAGAATGTACAGTACCATAAATCTTTTGTTTATGCGACACAATGATCACAAAAAGTGACCAACGGAGCCGTCCAGTTTTGTAGACCTGAAAGATGTGATAATAAAAACAGTTAGAAGATGGTGTCATTGAATAAAAAATAAAAATCATAAGAAAATATAAAATGAGTGATAAGACTTTTGTAAAAAGTGAAGAATGAAATTAAATGCTTGGGGGGCAGGGGGAGAACCAACTAACACTCTAGTCACTCTGTGTGTAGATCATATGTAACAAAGAACAAATGTTTGGTATACTGATTTTGAAGACTGTTAATGTCTACAGGTGTGATGGTGTAGTGCATTTCATACCGTTTTGTCGTCTAGTATGATCTCATTATGTTTTTGTTCACTTTCAAATCGGGTGAATAGAAAGCTAAACACACTCACTTTTTGCGCTTATGGGCTAGCACATCAGAGCCAGATGTAAGACCTACAGAATGGATTTCAATCGATCGAATGCACGCATTAGTCACCGTAGGCCACAAGCCTATGATGTGCTATGAAGTGAAATTTTAGATCCGAGCACATAGTCAGCAAGCGTTGATCCGATGTGCATTATGGAGCTTCCGACTGAATGTGTGCGTAAGTGTCAGCGTAGTTATTAGGTTATTGATCGCCGTAACCACATCTAGCGGGATAGCCTAATGTCCGTTTTGTTATTGTGGTGTACATTGGAAAAAGTTGGGGCTCACCAGCCACAAAGAATATATTTTTTTTATGCGACACAATGATTGCAAAAAGTGACCAACAGAGCCGTCCAGTTACGTAGACGTCCAGTTACGTAGACCTGGGAGATGTGAAAATAAAAACAGATTGAAGATGATTTTATTTAGGTAAAAGAACATAAATTAATGTAAAGGCTATTTAGTAGGAGGAGTAAAAGTTAGCAACTCAGGAAAAGAGGAACCATAACTCACACTCTAGTCATCTTTAGCAAATGATAAAACAATGATCTATGAGTAAACAAGTCAATAAAAGTCCGCTGGCTTATTTATGGTATCCATAACTAAAATAATTGCACTATACGAATGTCTAATAAATGTGGTACTATATATGTGGTCTAAATTCTAGATAATAAATTGAGAACTAATCATCACCTGTGTAACATATAAATATATAAATGTCGTTAATGTAACAAATACATAATAAAAAGCTCACAAGGCGCAAAAGTTCATGGGTGTAATAGGTTAAAAAAATGTTGGTGCCATAGTAATCAATAAGAATTAAGTAGTGGATAAATGGTGATCTCCCTCCTCAGGAATGCACTGTGATCACCAATGACATTTCGGAGAGCCCGAGATCTGCACTAACACCACTCGTCAGGCGCGTGTTCTTGCGACAGGTCTCACCGCCTGCACTCTACATCATGCTAGTCAATATTGCAATAAAATAGGACTACACTACAAAAGCTAAAAAACCCAATCCCTATCCCAGCTTTTAAAAAACAGCTCCATTCTTAGAGATCTCGTGAGGGTGGTGAGGGGTGCGCATGGTGTGACCATAAATAAATATGTAAACATATATAAATATAATGTACACTGCATTAGAAAAGACAAACTTGTGCACATGTACGTATGCGCGTGTATAAATAAACGATTATAATGTGTAGAAATAACACAAAGCGAATTGAAAATAGTAATTCATAATTAATAGTAATTTACCGTTTCTTTTATGGCTGAAATATGTATTATAAATATAATAAGTAAATATCACTCATAAACATTGATACTAAGTTAAAATGTTTTGTGGTTAGTACGAAAGTAGTTAAACGAAAATATGATAAAAAATGTGATAACTCCAATAGTATGTTCTCATATAAATCTTGCCTGATAAGTAGAGACAATAGCTATCATACAAAACAGACTCAGAGTAATTAAACAACGATTAGCCAGAGATAAAAAAGTATGCAAACATTAAATCAGTAGGCAGAGAGTAATGAGGAAATAAAGAGATGAGACAATAAATGCGATTTTTTACTTGTAGCTTATAACCATTAAAAAATGTAACGTTAAAAAGCAATATCGTGATAAGTCTAAACTTATCTAGTGGAATTGTTCAGTATATTCCAACTAAGAATACATTTGTTATAAAAATACGCTAATACGTACTTTTGTGTAAAATTTTTGCGCTGGTATGGTTCTGTGGAGTTCTGTTGGAGGATGTTGAGTTTCAACATCTGAATCAGCATCAAGATAAATAAAAGAAATATTAACACATAAAATAATTTTGACTGCATGTTGTAACTGTTTTATAATTTCAAACTAAAAAAGGAATAATTTAGTATAATTTATTCTTGTAATATCATAATTTAGTATAATAATTCTTGTGATATTGTTAATATTATAATATTCTCATAAATCCATTTATATGTCTGATTAGTGCCAGTTCTATGTTTGAGAAGCTTGATCCTAACAATTTTTTAACCAATTAAAGATACCAAAAATTACAAAAAAGTTTAGGTTTATATATTTGTTGGCGTTTATACCAGAAAGTGTTTTATAATTGACTCTTGCCAAAATATGGAATCAAATTACAAAAAAAAAAAAAAAAAAATTTAAAAAAGTATTTTATAATTTAGGGGTTAGGGTCTCTATGAAAAATTTTCTGATACCCCTTGATAGATGTGATTTTATAAAATTTTGTTTTACAAATATTTAGTAGGTATTTTCTTAGGGAGCAAAAAAAAGTTCAGAGCAAGACAACATAAAACCCAGTAGTCAGTTTAACACATAACTTTATAGGTAAAAAATATCACCTGAAACTTAGTATAGTACAGCAATTCCACATGTCTCGATGTTTTGCTTTTATAGAGGAAATACAACTTTATAATATCTATGTGTATAAAAAATATTTTAAATTTATATTATTTTGGTAAAAAAATATGTTCTTTAGGATAATTTTTAATATATTTTTTACTTTCTATTTTACAAGTTATTGCACAACTAAGAGCATCACAGCGTGACAAATCAATGTCATGTTGTGATGCGCGTATTTTTAGCTATATCTGTAAAAATGTATTAAAAAACTTATCAAAAGTTTAGTTTTTATAATACAGTTAGGCTGTTTCAATATTATAATAAAGTTTATTTTTAATTTTAAAAATCTAAATACCGCAAACTTTTGTTTTATCGATTAAAAAAGCATTAATTTACGTTATGCAATTGCTGAGTAATAGTTTTTTACTCAAATTTGTTTTAAAATTTTTATTAAAAATTTTTTTTAACAAATTTCAAAAGTTTTAATTTATCTCTAATTTTAGGCAAACTTGTTGTGCTACAATTCAATACCTGCATACAGGCCAATATGTATGCCAATTTATAGTTACTTTTGTGTACAAACTTATAAACTTGTGTAAAACCCAATAATGAACTTGTGCTTGTACCTTGTAACCCAATGGGTTAACTTGTAACTTTAGTATACTTAGGGTAACCACTTGTAGTAAAAGTCAAAGTTATGTATTACAAATTAATTTAACACTTGCAGCAACTTTATAACTCATAATACTGTCATAATTATTATTAGCAAGATTAAGCACTTCTTTTCTTAATGGAAGGAACCATTATTTGACATATTACATTATCAAATGGAACCTAACATTGGCTTGTGCACCACTAGTACATTTAGAATTTAATTTAATTTATTTCTTTGTATGAATTTTACATTAATATCTTGGTTTTCATTACAAATCTTTAACACAAGCCCTATGAACCATTCATCATTGTAAAATCATGCAATGTGTTTACTTGTTTGAAAAATTAAAAGAAGCCTTTTTTACCAAGTTATTATTTTTAAGTACATGGAAATCATGACAGTATCACTTGGTTCTTCATAAAAATAATTTTTCTCTATATGGTACAAAACAGGTATAGCTTTTTGCTCCCGGGACTGTGAGCATCCCTTTATATTTTTTATGGAGGTTTAAACCATCTTGCACAAGAAAACTATAGTTCTCTGCAAAACCCATAAGAATAAGATGTTTGTTGGTCTATTGTTCGTTTTGATAAAAAGGAAGGTTTTGCTACTTTTATAGTGGTGGTGAAAAAGGTCATACAAAGTTTTTCACTAAGAATTTAAATTCAATAATACTTGCTTGGACTGTAATAAGTTTTGGTCAGGTTCTCCTTCTCAAGACTGCACTTTTTTCAATTCTATATATACACTATGCTATATATACACTATGCTATATATACACTATGCTATATATACACTATGCTATATATACACTATGCTATATATACACTATGCTATATATACACTATGCTATACGATTCTGTTCAAATTAAAATTTAATTTACAAACGTCTAGTATTCTAATATTTCATTTTGAGTCTGAACAACATACTCTATGACAATTAATACAGTTTTCCGCCCTCTGGTTCTACTGCTGGCTTATTCATTATCTCAATCGTTTTAACAGAATCTGACTCAATCATTTTAACATAAAGGTTTTTCTGTGCAATAAATGAAAGGGGAGGGCTATTTTTTTGACATCTAAAACTTTCAATAATTTCTAAGATACTGTCTCTCTTTAAGCTCTTTTTATATGTTGTATTCTTTGGTCAGTATTTTATTCAGTTTGGTCAATGTTTAAGCAATCAACAAAGTCAATATTAACTTTGTTTTTTATGATGTTTTTATCAGTTAAATTTATTTTAAGCTGCTAGTAAAGATTGCTACACTTCGTTAAAACATCCTTTAGTATAATTTGCCCAAAAGAAGTTGCTTACATCAATAAGCTATAAGTCAAACTACAGGTGTGTCTGTTTAAAAGGTTTTCGTTACTTAATGTTGTCAGCGACTGTACGTGCGCGTGTGTGTGTGTATACACTTATGTATCGTGTATATTATTTAGGAATTCGTTCAAAAAGTCGCCCTTTTGATATCATGGCAGAACTATATCGTGCTTTGAGAAAATTAGGATATGTATGTTTTTTTATTGTTGTTTTTTTATGATAAATTTTTATGATAATTTTTTATAAATTTATTTTGTTTTATTACTTTGTACTAATTTTTTTGAGTCATTAGAATATTTTTTTTTATCGTTTTGATGCAAATTATTTTTATTCATTTTTATAGATTTATTAAGTTATGATGGTTATATTTTTTTTCTTTTTTTTTTTCTTATTAAGTTAGTATAAAATAAATCAAATAAATAAAAAAAAAAATATATATATATATATATATATATACACACACACATATGTAAATACAAAACAATAAAACTTAATGTACTTCAGCATTATTTTAAGTGCTTTAACTTTTGAATACTCTTCAAACTGTTTAATAAGTGCTTTACTAAATTTTTTTTTTAGATCTTTTTTCACCTAATTAGCCTTTTCTCTATTATTAGGAGTTTTTAATCAACAAACTTTAAAAATCTTATCTTAAATCTGAAACTAACTCTCTGACAATCAATACAGAATTCTATTCTCTCATTATGTTGCTGATCTATCAGAATGATGCTGTCATGCATTGATAGAAGCAGTGAGGCAAGGACTATTGCTTTTGACATCATAAAGTCTGGCGTGTTGGACTTCTCCCTAAGCTTTCTTCATATTTCTGGGAATGTTTTTAAAGTCATTTAATCATTTGGTTCTTACTGCAGCATGCTGCAACATTTTTCTTCATTTTCAGTAATTTTTTGGGGTACCACATGGTTCCAACCTTGGTCCTGTATAGTTTCTCATCTACATTATTGATCCTACTGACGACACAGCTAAATACTCCAGTCTTACCTTTTGATCACTTAAAGGAAGCAGCTAATCTTGAGTATGATCAATAGTGAATTTTAATCAAAACAAAACTCTGCTAATAATTGTTGCAATGTTGTTGATATTCCTATATTGAAGAATTTTTACATTTTTATTGAGTCTTCTATTTTACATCTACTCTGATTAGCTTTTAATACTTACCGTTCATAGTAACATTATATACAGGATGTTTCATAAGTTGTGTTTAATAAAATCTAATCTCTTATAAATTTTTAGGAATGGAAGAATGTCAACTCTTTCTGTTTACGAACTCGAAAAATAAGAAAGCGTGGACCAGGTTATGTGAGTGTAACCAATTTATCCGATTATGTTCTATTTTGTTTTCATATAAAACTAAAAACTACTTCTTTTTTTTTCATATAAAACTACTTTTTTTTTTCTTTTTTTTTTCAGCTGAAATTTACAACACAGCTTTATATGATTGATCATACTGGTTATTTACTTGATTTCAAAAGCTTACCTCCAGATTTCGATGATGACTTGAGTTTAGATATGGATTTTGACTCAAATCCAGGAAACTGTCACGAAGTGATGGAGTTTTTTGAGGCATGTTCTGAACTCATAATTGCTTTAGCGCGTTAATTGTGAATTAATAGGGTTGTAGTGTGAATAAATTTTAACAAATTGCGCAATATAGGTGCAATGTTGCACGTTTTAAGTGCAATATTGTGTTACGGTGGTACCAGAATGTTAATTTTTTTTTAACTTCAATAAGTCTCAAACTACTTCAAACTACTTCAACAACCGAGAAAAACGGATTTTATTTAGAAAAAGTTATTAGTTTAAAAATGTTTACTATAAATACTAAAATTTGCAGTTTGGCTTTATTGTGTGAAGAAATTATATTCTAAGGGAGTTAAGTTAAAAATATATGATAAAAATAATAATATTAAAAAAAGCATAAAAATAATAAAGCAAAGTTAGAATAGAAATATCCCTATACTCGCGTACCACTGTAAGGAAAAAAATTTTAAAAGATTTTATTTGTGTTCATATCTTGTATGTAAGTATTTTTTATTCATCTCTTGTTAATATGTGATTTATTTTTTAAAGTCTACTTATGCTTTTGATTTTTTTAGAGAAAAAAAAAACTATATATATATTCAAAGCTAATGTCTTTGAACATTCTTATCAACAAAACTTTCCTAAAACAAATGTATTACGAAGCGTTTGTTTTTGTTGTTGCTGTTTTGTTTTTGAGAATAAAAAAATTTAAAAAATCATAATATTAGCATTCGACAGTGTATAATTTTAGCAATTTACCGAAACAACGATGAAAAAAATAGCCTTTCCGCGAAACTTGTTAATTCTCAAAAGGTTTTATGAAAGTTTCTATTCAAGGCGATTCATGTTTGTTTCAATGATTTTCTACCAGTAATCACGTAAAAGTGGAGTGGAGTATTTTACATGTTTAATGTACAAACTGGTGTATAATAAATAGGGGAAGACGGGGAACATTCGACCACTTAGCTGGTTTTTATTAATTTACAAATGATTTTTTACCAAAAACATTTAAATTTTTTTATCATTACAAGTAATGGTCTTAAACCAACAAATTAAAAAGATAATGAATATAAAATATTGATTTTTGTTAAATCCACCACTGTTTTAAAAGTAAGCCTCAAAGTGGTCGAGTGTACCCCACCGGTACATTCGACCACCTAGAGGGGTAGTTTCAAACATTATTAGCAAAATAATAAGTCTCTAAGCTTTCTTTCTTAAAAATGTAGTTTTGTACAATAAAAACTTTCAACAAAATATTTAAAAACAAATAATAATAGATGTTTACAAAAAGATTTCTGAAGTTATATCGAAATAAAAATAACGTTGCCGTTCTTTCCGTCTTTGTTGGAGTTGCAGACTTTAAAAGCGTTTTTTTTTTCAGGTTGATAACTTTTCTTCTTTTTTTTTAATTTTTTCCAAATGAAGTTTTTCAATCCTTTTCAGGAGTGTTACTATATATTGTTGACTTAGTTTCCTCTTTATTTCCTCTTTGAGAAGCTTTAGGGCCGCACATTCTCTGAAATCAGTTTTTAATTGTTAGAGTTATTCTAGTAGTTGCAGGAAGAATGCGTTTCATTGGTAGATAAGAGGGGTAAATTATTTTGTAATGGTGTACCTATTACCCCTAGGCTTTCACTTGGTTCTCCCATTAGAGTTCTATTTGTGACATATATGGGCATGAAATCTTTTTGTGGCTTGTGGTTACATTTTCATTTCTTTTATATATGTTTTCGTTACTTATTTTCGAGGCATCTAAAAGATAAGAGAAATATTTTATGTGGTATTATCAAGCACCGGTCGAATGTTCCCCGGCTAGGTAGGTCGAATGTATCCCACTTGTGTTATATATAAACAAACGCTGTTAAAAGCCGAAATCGATTTTTTTTTAAAGTAAACCAAATACAAAGGTTTTTAACTCAAAATATCATTAAACAATAAACAACAAAAAAAGTTTCGGAGGGTAAAATTGGAAAAGACATTCTTTGCGGGTTATTTAAAACATAAAAAAATTACCTTGAGCATCAATAATTAGATTTTTTTCTATATAAGTACTAATACTAATAAAAATGAATCGATACTTATTTCCAGCGATAGCTTATTTACAGACATTACATGGATAAAAATTTTAAGTGGTAATCTTTATCATGTTGGGAAATATTTGAAAAGGTTGAATGTTCCCCGTCATCCCCTACAGAAGTGTTTTACATAAAGCTTCATGTCAAACAGTCATTGTAATGACTATACAGGATCGCTTAATACTTTTAACAAAAAAAACTTGAAAACAAGAAAAACATCAATTTTTTTTAAATTGACAAAAAAATTTACTTTGTTAAATTGATAGAAAGTTATTTTTAATTTGAATAGTGAAATGATAAGACAGTACTGGATAATGGATTTATTTGAAACTCCGTCTCATCGGATTTTTCTCGGGGTTTCGGAGTTTGAAAGAAATCGAGAAACTTCGACAAAATTATCAATTTTTTACTCGTAAAATAATTAAATTCTTATTTAATTTCTATCCTGCTTTTACAATAGTTCTTGTTGTTTTCATAATGTAAGTATTCTCTTTGTTCAATAACAACACTAATTTACATTGCAAAGTAATTAATAATGCACCGTGGGCCAGGTGGTGATGGTGAAAAAATTTCAAAAAAAAACTTATTTTACTCAAAACCATATAATAAAATATACTCATATTTTTCCATTGTACTATTTCAAAAACTCTTTTGAGTAGTAGGGGAACCTGTTGTACCTTTGACCACTTTTTGCTTTAAGGCGTTTTTTGCGTAGTCTATTGAGTAAACTTAAACCATTTAAACTATATAATATTCTTTTATATTTTGCCAAAAAATTATACTTAAGACTTTTTTTCATTTGACTAAGAAGTATCTTTTTCCCGCGTTTTAAAAAAAGAAGTCTTTTGGTCAAAGGTACAACACATATGTTGTACCTTTGACCGATGCGCGTTGTACCTTTGACCAAACTGTTATTATTAAAAAATCATGCAATGTTTGAACCTCTTTAATATTTTAGCTTGTTATATGTTATATAGCAACTTCTGGCCTACCTTTGTCAATAAAAATTGTCATGAAGTATATAGGGTTAAGGTCAGTGGCGGAACTACTGGACGCAGGACCCTGCGTTGCGGGGGGGCCTACCAGCTATAGGGGGCCCTCATATAAAAAAAGTTATACTCTCAATAATATTTATACTATAAAACTCTTTTCCGCAAAAAAAACATTCTTTTGCGGGGGAACCCAAATTTTGAAGTTCCGCCACTGGTTAAGGTCCAAAACTTTAAATGCGATTTAGTTGTACAAAATATGTTTTCTAATATCTATAGTTATTTTTATTATTTAAGATAAGAAAAGAGCAAAAATAGATTTTTATAACTTATATCAGCTGGCGGTCTATATTCATTTACATATGGTCATAATGCTTTCTAAAGGAAATATTTTGATGATGACAACAAAAAAACAATAATAAAAGAGTATAATATATTAATTATTAAAATAGTCAGATCAACATCAAACATAAGATATTGACGTTTAGATGAACCACCACATTTTAACCACCACCAATACTTGGTGGTGGAAGTTTCATAATAATATCTTCAAGTTTCACTTCATAAAGATTGTCATCTTCTCTTATAAATTTGTTACTAAAGTCTGCTGATTTCTCAAGATACTTAATTTTGTAAACTATACCAACAACTTCTATAACTTCTGCTACATAAAGTCTAGAGTATTTCTTTCCGACCAACTTGACAATTAAAAAACTTCCAGAAACAATTTCACTTTCATCATCAAGTATATTTACTCCAAAATTAATTTCATCAGAGCTTTCATTATTTAAACACATGTCAGACTGACTAAAAATAATCTGTTTTGCCATTTTTTTTCTTTTGCTTGAAGAGAACTTTTTAAATTGTTGGTTATTAGATTTTGCATCTAAAATAACTTTAATTTCAGGTGTATCAGTTAGAATACGTGATTTTCCCGTACGTCTTTTTGAAGTATTTGTTTTTCTTAATTTGGCTTTAGGATGAGGTCGTATTATCTCAGGTGAAACAATAAATGATTTTGACGGTAAACTCACAATAGGGATTTCCCCTAAAACAATAGATAATGTTGATGGTAAACTGGATTGAGCAATTTTAACATTAATACTTTTATTAGAAATGCAAGCTTCAGTATTCACTATTGGCCTATCAGTAACATTTGCAGCTAAAAAGTCAATATCAGTAAAAATATTTTCATTAAATGGATAAAATCCAGTACATTTAAAACTGTTTATAATATTATTTGGTACAAAAGCATGAGGATAAGCTTGACCAGAAAGTAAGATATATCATAAATTGTAACTGGTTTACCAGCATTACCTGGTGATATCATCCAGTTATTCATGGCATTGTTATAAAAAGTTTTAAATGGTCCAAAAACACTACGATCAAGAGGTTGCATTTTATGGGTTGTGTGAGGATGAAATGTCATTAAAACTATGCCTGATTTTTTTGCTAACTCAATAACAGAAATGTTTACATGACTCTCATGGTTATCCATTAATAAAAGAACAGGTTTTTCAATTGATGGTTGCACATTATTAATAAAATGTTCAAGAAATTGCAGAAAAATGACTTCATTTGACCATCCGGACATATTAGCTGCTCCTACACTTCCAGGAGGACAATTATTTAACATGTGATCTTTGAATTTAGCACATGGAAATACAAGTAATGGTGGGATGCTATTTCCAGTAGCATTAATGGCTGCAATCATTGTTTCATTATTGCTTCGTTCAGCACTCGCCATGCTCCCTATTTGTTTTTTGCCTTTTGGAGCTAGAATTTTTGGTGGTACGTGAACTGTGGTAATTCCTGTTTCATCACAGTTCCAAATATTTGATGGATCAAAATGATAACGTTCTAAAACATTTTTGTAATTTTTATATACAATTTTTACGGTTTCTCTATTGAATGCAGAAGATCTACCAAGACTTGTAGGTTGTGGTTTACGTAGAGATAGCTTGTTATTATATCTTTTGCAAAAATCTCGTAGCCATTGTTCACCTGCACATTTATTTTTTACCCATGAAGTTTCAACTTTTTTATGATTTTCTAAAGCATACTCATGAAAAGGACCTTATCTGCTTTAATGTTAGTCCATAATGCATATTTGCAGCATCTACCAAGTAGTTTACCAATATTAATTCTTCTTCTGTTGAGAATATTTTTTTTGGTTTTGTATGCGAATATAAATATTCGCAACTACTAGATTTTTTAAATTGCTTTAACTGGTATATTAAAGATGATTTTTTAATGTTGCAATGTCTTGCAGCTCTACTTAAACTCATTTTTTGTTGAAACACAAAATTCACTGCATTAAGCATATCCGTTTCGGAAATCTTTTGGCGAAAAACACCAACCTTGCTCCTTGGCATTTTAAGACTAAAATAAATTAACAGAATTAACTATTTTTATACATTTAATTCCCTATAGCTGTGCAGAAATTAGGTAATAAAATGAACTTGATAATAACATTGCTTCAGCTATCC